TACACATTTTATGTTATCTTATCTGATTTAGTATATGCATATGATTAATTTGGCCTTAACCTTAATATATGTTTCTTCAATAAGCAACCCTTTTTTAATCATTGCAAATTAGTCTTATAGACTTTTCTATGATAGATCTTGATGGCAGGTGGATTATCGTATAGATTGGAAAATCCTAAACCATCCATTTGTAATACTTTGATTGTTTGAGCATTAATTTAACTTTCATCAGTGATGACGATTTCAATACACAATAATCGATTTTTGAACAATTCCAAGTGACTGAATGTGTCACTCAACATTACTTAAATCTTAATTCGAAACGTGGTTTAATTCCCTCTTAAAAATAATATTCATAAATCTTTATTAAATTATGCCCTGAGGTCAAAGACTGATGATCTATCAACTTACTTAATAAAGAAATAATAAAAAAAAAAAAACCTAAATTACGCACGTTTTGCATTGGAAATTAGAATTATATATACAGTATTATAAAATACATGCCTTTGGAAACACGCTGTATTTGAAAATGATATTGATATATAAACCCTAACTGCAGCTCATCGAGAGATAATATTGATTACTGGCTCAAGACTTGACTAGCAGGCACAGCAGAGCCATGCTAAATGTTAAGGAAACAATATATTAGATGATATAACTAAACGTGTATATGTCACTCTTGTTGACCCAACATATATACAAGATATATTTATGATAAATTAAAGCCTGTGTTTCTCATCAACAAGCACGAATGGTTTAAGAAATACTGCACGCTTTCTTTGGAGAGATCGATGTAAGTTTGCTGAAGATTGTGGATTATTGATTATATGATCATATTAACCAACTAACAATAATATCATTTCATATAAGTAAGAGCTACCTTGTTTGAACATCATAATACTACTTTAATCATATGATAAAACTAACAATAACAATACCAATACCAGCCTGTCTGAGTAGCATTAGAGAAATTAAAACAATAACAAATGGAATTGCCACAGGAAACTACCTCTAGGCGGTCAAGTGGTTTGATATGGACTCTTTGGTATATTACTCAAAAGGTTCTGAGTTCGAGTCTCTCCTCGGTTACTAATATAGGTAGTTATTAGAGCTCTTACTCATCCGATAGTTTCAAGGTTTCAATGGATTAGTTGAGGTGCACATAAGCTGAACCGAACACCCCGATCATAAAAAAAAAAAAAAAATGCGACCGATAATTAGCTTTATAATATAATTAATTTACTTGTCAACAAACTCTTGTATTTATAATAACACATGGCTGACCTTACACTTGGCTTTACAAAATGTCATAAAATTCTAATGCATGTTTTGAACATCTAGATGTAAACATATCTTTAAATGTAGAAATTTAGTGCAGAAGAAAGTGGTGGAATAATAAAGCATATATAGAAATGTAGCGTAAATTAAGGCAAGATATGCTCTTTATTTCGTTGTTCGTTGTTACTTGACCGAGTAAAGGTGATCTGTATACTTTCAGGATAAATTTAGTGTTATAAAACTTGGCAACAGCTGCAATAATATGCAGGGGCGCCCATAGAATATCACTGCAAAATTAATTGTCTTTCTCCTCAAGGATAGGGTTTCCTTAATTAAGTTATATATTAAATGTTACGGTCAACTTTAATATAATAATAAGAATTCGGTAAGAAAATAGAAAGATTGAGAATCATATCTTTTATTTACACGGGGACCATAATATAAGAAATGGACACATCGATTGTACCCCGACTTTGTGCCACCATAATCCAGCAAAATCTATCCATATTTCATATTTAAGTGTCAATGAAATTTATTAAGCAGTAAGTGACAATCAATGGAAGAAAATGCTCAAATATGTTGTCGTTAGGTTGATCAACAATTTGTTAATTTAGTAGATTATCAAATGAGAAATATAATGACAATAGTTTTTCATAACTAGTAGACCCACGTTTATCAAGAGCTAATTAAATGTTGCTCTTCTAGTTCTGTATATTAAACTTAATATTATGCTCAAAAGTAGATATTAGCACATGGTGCATCTCAACCTTTTAACTACCTCTGAATGACCGATTGGTTCAATATAGACTCTTAAGTGTATTACTCAAGAGGTCTTGAGTTTGAGTCTCTCTTCGATTGTTAATAAAGATAGCTACTGGAGTTCTTACCTGATCGATAGTTCCAAGATTGCGAAGGATTAGTTAAGATGTGCGTAAAATAACCTGAACACCCCCAGTTATTAATAAAAAAAAAAAATCTTTGGACGTTATTGCACGTTATAGGACTCTATTTCAAATTCCTAGTATGTTTGGTATTACTTAGTAGATTAAGTTTTTAGATAACAATTATTTATTTGGTGTTTATTTGAAAATGATGGATTATTTTTCTTGTGAAAGAAGCAAATGATATTTGAAAGTTCTATAAATGGGATTTTTTTTTTTTTTTTTTTTTTTTAAATAAGTTAACAAGACACAGAGAGTACTTTTATAAGATATAGAGATGAAAAGATAACTGTAAATGTTTAAAAATAACTCTTCAATCTTTGAAGGCATCTTGATTTCTCAGTCTTTTTGTTTATTTATAAATATTTGTGAAATTATATAATATGAACTGACATAATATATTATCAATTTTTGTGCTATGCCTGATGTATAATCTAAGTATTTGATTTATACTTTTACTATATACGTGTTAAGAAGAAGCACACGCATTAACTCCATTATCCTTTTATATAATTAACTCAACGACTTCATGATATGAATTAATTAATTTGGACTTAGTCTTGAGATATCATAATCAGAAACGTGGGTTTTTAGGCTGTATATTAATAATACGGTTTGTCACCACTGAAATTTGTCAAACCACATGTAACAACTTCATTAAAATATGCCTCATTTAACACATTTTTTAGCTTTAGATGGCCAGATCCCTCACGGAACTTCGACCTGTTCAAGAGATTACATCGGAAATATTTTGGATTTTTTTATTCTTTTCGCTTTTTGGTAATTGATAAGAACAATTGCATTAATTCAAATTCACTGGCTTTGGTCACTCTTCTTTTAAGAAAAATAATATAAAAACAAATCGACCTTTCATATATATCAACTCTTTCTCCTTCCAATAATCGATTTATTAAAGAATCTAAAAGAATTCATATATATCAACCCTTTCCTCTTCGAAATATTAAGGCATATATTTCAGGAAAAAAAAAAGTATGAATCACTTATATCAGGAATTTAATTGAGGAGAAATTCCAAATTTCTACTATATTAAGAGCACGTTTTTGGAATTTTTCAACTAGACATTGTATTTATCCCTTGCTTTGTTGAACACATATCAGCCTCCACTATCGTAAGATAGAAGAAAGACGAAAACACAATGAGAAGCATATCTATCTTTCTCTTGCACTGGCATCTATTTCCACAAGCCAACAAATTCATAACAGAGCGTGACAAAACATGCACGAAGATGGAAACCACATAAACATCATGGAATTGGAATCTTTGATAATTTGAACAACGATTGTCAACAGTGATGAAATAGATGCCAAGGTGAATCTTTTTTTAAGCAGAAAAACCAACAAGGAACAAAGTTTGCGGTGGTTGATGTGTTGTGTTTATTTTATTATGATTTGATTGGTGAGGAGTAAAATCATTGGAGTTCATATCTAGTAAACAATTGGTGGACTTACATATACCGAAGAATTTGTATGAGATTAGAAAATTAATAATTCAAAAGTGTCGGTCAATTTCAATAATTCATTCAAAAAATAATGATTCAATGTATAGTATGACTTTTGATCCACATGTTAAAAATTTCAAGATTTACGCACGAACAAAGATAACATTACTGAAACTGATTTACAAAGATAGTTTTATCAATACTGATCTACAAAGACCTATATGTTAGACTTTTGTTTTTGATCGTATCCTAAGGGTTTTTTCCTGTACTAGGCAAAACCCTCTGAAATCCCATGTAAGCATGATTTGATCTCTTGTGCTAAACTTAAATAAATTAAGATCCAATTAGAAGTTAATGTATCCACATGCACCCTGTTAATAGTTAAGTTTATATGGTGATAAAACACATGCACCATGTGTTAATGTTTTTACATGTTAATTAACATAAATGTTAGTTTCACGTTTATACTATTCTATATTCCAGTTTCGTTTATTGCATGCATCTTCCTTATTATTAGACATTAAAATTAGGAACTTATTTTTCTCAGTAATGTTACTTCTCATCAAAGAGTTATTCATTAATTTATTCACTTATAATAAACTTCATATATCAAGTAAAAATAAGAGTTGTCTCCTAGAACTTGAAGATTATCTTATAATATGGAATTAATTAAGCAACCTTTGAAATTTTGTTAAAAACAATAAATTACTTAATGTTTTGCATAAGAGGTAATAGAATATTATATCTTCATCTTCTGCAGAAAGTTAAGGGTTTTGAATCTGATTATTTAGTTGTTACTGTTTACAAATGGTGAATGACCGCCAATGTCTCATAGCTTCTAATAGTTAACCAGTGTTTAATTAATTATAAATTAGGCTAGTTTATATGCACCTTAACTAATCCTCCGAGACCCTAGAACTATCGGTTAGATAAAAGCTCCAGTGATCATCTCTATTACCAACCGAGGAACTCGAATTTATGACCTCTTAAGTAATACATCCAAGAATCTTTATCGAATCATTTGGTCACCCAAAAGTTGGTTTTACTTAATGTTTTGCATAAGAGGTAATAGAATATTATATCTTCATCTTCTGCAGAAAAGTTGAGGGCTATGAATCTGATTATTTAGTTGTTACTGTTTCCAAACGGTGAATGACCGTCAATGTCTGGTAGCTTCTAGTAGTTAACGAGTTTTTTAATTAATCAAATTCATGAAATTACGAAAATTATAATTAATTTCCTTCTTTTCTGTGTATATAAATACCCTTAATGCCATATCAAGGTACGTACCATAGTTTGTACTTGAAGCGATATTGATCAATATGGCATCAGCTCAAACAGCCCTTGAGAACTCTGAATTCTCCTTACTCAGCGTTCAGGAACTCATCAAAGATCCCAATATCACTGTGCCAAACGACTACTTTCGTCCCAATCAAGAGCCTCCAAAACTCTTGAACAGGAACGATCACTTCCCTGCAATCCCCACTATTGACTTGGAACGTTTAGTTTCCGAGGAACGCTCAGAGTTTGAACTAGAGAAGTTGGAAGCAACGTGCAAAGAATGGGGTATCTTTCAGGTTAGTAAACGTTAATGGAACGATAAAGGTTCATCTAGTTATTATTTTTTGGACGTGTATGAAATAACTTAAATTAATTTCATGAAGACAAATATATATAGATGATTAATTTGTTTCGTTCTCGGATATGTTAAGAAGTTTCGTGTTTATATCTGTTAATTAAATATGCAATAGTGCTACCAATAATACAGTTTGAATGTTATACGCAAAAGATGTCAAATAAAAGAAGTTTAAAAAAATATGAATATAAAACAGCCTGACTGTTGTGACTTTGTGTTATTATGATGTAGTTGGTGAACCATGGAGTTAGCTCTTCACTGCTGGAGAAGCTGAAATTTGAGATCCAAGAATTTTATAAGCTTCCTGTAGAAGAGAAAATGAAATACAAAATAAAGCCTGATGACTTTGAAGGGTATGGATCCCTGGCCNTTGCATGTTAATTAACATAAATGTTAGTTTCACGTTTATATTATTCCATATTCCAGTTTGGTTTACTGCATGCATCTTCCTTATTACTAGACATTAAAATTATGAACTTATTTTTCTCAGTGATGTTACTTCTCGTCAAAGAGTTATTCATTAATTTAATCACTTATAATAAACTTCATATATCAAGTAAAAACAAGAGTTATCTTCTAGAACTTGAAGATTATCTTATAATATGGAATTAATTAAGCAACCCTTGAAATTTTGTTAAAAACAATAAATTACTTAATGTTTTGCATAAGAGGTAATAGAATATTATATCTTCATCTTCTGCAGAAAAGCTGAGGGAGGTAATAGAATATTATATCTTCATCTTCTGCAGAAAAGCTGAGGGAGGTAATAGAATATTATATCTTCATCTTCTGCAGAAAAGCTGAGGGTTATGAATCTGATTATTTAGTTGTTACTGTTTACAAATGGTGAATGACCGTCAATGTCTCAAAGCTTCTAATAGCTAACCAGTGTTTAACTAATTATAAATTAAGCCAATTTATACGCACCTCAACTAATCCTTCGAGATCCTGGAATTACCGGTTAAGTAAGAGTTCCAATGACCACCCTTATTAGCAATCGAGGAGGGACTCGAATTTATGACCTCTTGAGTAATATACCCAAAAGTCTTTATCGAACCATTTGGTCACCCAAGAGTTAGTTTTACTTAATGTTTTGCATAAGAGGTAATAGAATATTATATCTTCAGCTTCTGCAGAAAAGTTGAGGGTTATGATCTGATTATTTAGTTGTTACTGTTTACAAACGGTGAATGACCTGTCTGGTAGCTTCTAGTAGTTAACGAGTTTTTTAATTAATCACATTCATGAAATTACGAAAATTATAATTAATTTCCTTCTTTTCTGTGTATATAAATACCCCTAATGCCATATCAAGGTACGTACCATAGTTTGTACTTGAAGGGATATTGATCAATATGGCATCAGCTCAAACACCCCTTGAGAACTCTGAATTCTCCTTACTCAGCGTTCAGGAACTCATCAAAGATCCCAATATCACTGTGCCAAACGACTACTTTCATCCCAATCAAGAGCCTCCAAAACTCTTAAACGGGAACGATCACTTCCCTGCAATCCCCACTATTGACTTGGAACGTTTAGTTTCCGAGGAACGCTCAGAGTTTGAACTAGAGAAGTTGGAAGCAACGTGCAAAGAATGGGGTATCTTTCAGGTTAGTNTTGTTACTCTTTTATCAGTATAATACATCTCATTATACTACTTATCATTTCCCAATTGCTGTTTTTGCTTGATTGTGAGTGCTTGGTTCATTTGAATTACTGATTATATTGGAGTTCTTGTCATAATTCTTGGGAGGAGAGATGAGCAAGAGGGAGGCAATTGTGTTCTGGAGGCGGTAACGGTTGATGTGGAGCTGCAATGCGGAGTAGCGATAGAGAAGGCTGGGCAGCAGCAAATAATAGACAATGGCAATAATTAAACTCAAATCAATGCTACTATAAAATGAAAGAAGAGTGTGATAAAGCCTCTCTAATGCCTAAGTTAATTAACATCTTTCATTCATCTTTGGATCAAATTTATTGCTACCACTTATCTTATTATCAGTGCCAGTAAATATTAAATAAAAAAATTCAATCAAGATCTTTTTTATTAAAAATTTTAAAACTTTACTCTTTTAACGTAATTTATTAGTATGGGAAATAAGATATAATCTAAATTTTAAAGGCCAATATTGATATTCAAGATGTCAGGAGATAGATCTTGCAATAGAAAATATTGAGTTTAAACCACACTGGGTGACCTAATTGTTAAAGAGCAAAGAATGATCTAACATGGTCTCCCAAGTACGAGTCCCCTTGATGGTAAAAAAGCAAGATGAGGATTTAACATGGTCCATGGTCTCCCGAGTTCGAGTCCCCACGACTGTTAATAGGGATGGTCATTGGAGCTCTTACCCAGCTGGTAGTTTCAAGGTCCTGAAGGATTAGTTGGGGTGCACTTAAACTAGTATGGACACCCCTGGTCATCAAATATATATACAACACCATTGTAACGCCCACTTGAGGTACGTAGTTAAAGTATATAGTATTGCCTAAATGTTCATTGAGTTGCCCTTAATTGAGTTACATGTTGTTAATATTGTTTGTTTGACCCTCAATTGAATGAGTGTTTTGGGTTTGGTTGAGTGGTTGCCCTGAAAATTGTAAAGACTTGGCGAAATCTTGGTGTTCCAGACTTCACCGGGGCGAAGAATAATCTTTGCCGCGGCGACATAGGTTCTGTAATTACGTAGATTCTGTAATTTTTCGCCGCGGCGAAGAGCTGGCTAAAATGTTTGGTGAAGTTTTTAGAGAATTTTCCTTAAGGGCAAAGTGACCATTCTACCCCTAATTAGCAGCTAAAATGGGGAATGAAATATAAGGAAATTTCATGGACAATGTATTAGAGTTGGGGGTGTGATTGCGATGAAGTAAAGGACAAAGATGGAATTTCTAAGAAAGTGTAAGGGCAAAATGGGAAAGAATGTTTGTAAAATGAGATATTAAGGATTTAGTCTTAGAACAACCCCTCAATTCTCTACTTCCACCGCCATTCCCATTCTTCATTTTCTCTCAACCTCCCACTCAGTTAGCTGAGGACTTTTAGAGGGCTTTTGAGTGGTTTTTGGTAAAGAGTTAAGCCAAAGCATCCTAAGGTTTTAGAGAAAAGACTATCTACCAAGGGAAAAGAGATGCTAGTGGAGGCACTCAATCACAAGGTAAGTAAATCCAATTCAAGTTAAGGTTTAAGAAATCACTTGAGTTCTTTAGGTATGTATATCTTATGCTTGTTAAGAAATTGAAATGAGATGTGTACTTATTTATGGTTATTGGATATGTTTAAATTATGAGANAAAACTACGAAATACCTTACAAGTCCAATAGATCAAGATAATTGTACAAATGTAGTAAATACCTTCCTACAACTCAACACTACAACAAAAATAGTATACGGTAACACTAAATAGTAGTATTTTTTCTTAAAATGTTACTATAGACTATTTATGGTAACACTTGATGTTAAAATGTTATGATAACAATTTTTATACGTAACACTTTAACTTTTTATAACACATTTTATATCAATGGTAACTCTTTCTCTGAAAATGTTATTAATATATATCTCTACGATAACATTTTTAATGTATTACAATAGACCTTAATAATATAGTAACATTTTTATAATGTTTTTATATACAAATCAAAATACAATAACATTTAAAAAGTGTTACCATAAACTCAAATATTTACCGGGAAAGAACATATTATTTCTGTCAACATAAAATGAGGTTGATTTTGTCTTGTTTTTATTGTTTAGGAATCAAATTATCATGTTATTTGGGGTTTACTTTGTCACTTTTCATTCATGTAGGGACCAAACAATTTTTTTACAAATAGTATAAAAGGAAGATGGAAGGTTATGCAAAGCCTAAAACGTCCACCCATCTTCATCCATTTTCCGATGACTGTCCAGCTTCCACCTTCGACGACCATTTTGCTTATCCAACAGTCAGCCACCATCACCCAAGACCTTCCCGGATTCCGACGACCGTTAAGTTTCCTTCATCCTCGATCAACCCCCTAGGTATAGCTAACCCCAATGGTTAAAAGGTTTGTCATCCGATCACAAGAAAAAAGGTAACCAATGCAAGATGGAGGTTTTCAATGGATGCCCCCAATGTTTAGCGAGAGAAAAGGAGATCTATAAGTTTTAAATTATAACGCTTATTCCTTTATAATTGATTATTTTTGTAAAAAGTAATTATCATAAGAGTAAAATATATGACACAATAAAAAACATTTTTTTTCCCAAATGTCGTATCGAATTATCAAAGTTTAATGTTTTTAAATAATTTAATATATTTTATAATTATATAATATGACAAATGTCAATTATTAGCTTCTTCTTTTTTTTAGTAGGAGAAAAGATTTTGTGTCTTAAATCTTCTTTTCACAAATGTAAGAGTGTTAAGTGTTTCATTCTGAAACTATAAGAGTGTAAATGTTTCATTCTGAAACCTAGGGATCTTCTTGTGACTTACTAAACCTCAGGGGTGTCCATGTAAAAACCTCCGTATTGATGACATGTTGTACATGAGTCTTTCCATTAGACGACATGTCATCCATTGTCTTTTAAAAAAACGACAATTGTAGTCGGTGGTCTTTAAACTCAATCACACACCGACATACCGACCTAACCTAAGAAAAAGACCAGATTCGTCGATTACTCAATTTCATAATCCAATGACACGTCGTCCCTTGTATAAGAGAAATACGACAAAGCGTCTGTAAGCCGACTAAGAAAAGCAAATAGTAGTTTACAAATTACAAAGGCCCGAAGCCCTGAACCGAACCGGGCGGCCCATAATCTAAAAGCACACATATTTCTTCCCTTTAAAAGGCAGAAGCCGAAAACACCAGCAGCAGAAACCGAGAAACGCCGAGAAAAGATGGTGGTAGAAAGCGAGAACTCAAAAACTTCAACAAACCCAGAAGAACTATCCAGCACCGCTACTAAAAACCCTAGCCCTAACCCTAAGGATGACGAGGAGTTGGAGGAAGGGGAGATCGTCGGCGACAATGAGCCGTCGAAGAAATCAACGGATGTGATTCATCAACCGCACCCGCTCGAACATTCTTGGACCTTTTGGTTCGATAATCCCTCCGCCAAATCAAAGCAAGCCACGTGGGGTAGCTCCATGCGCTCGATCTATACTTTCTCCACCGTTGAACAGTTCTGGAGGTTAACAATTAATCTTTCTTTTCTTTTCTTTTATTTTATTTTTTGTGGATTTATTTGGAACAAGAAGTAGGATGTAGGATTTGTTTGGTTGATGAGAAAATTGAGGTTGGAATTTCTTGTTCTTTCTTTGTGATTTTGTTTCAATTTCTTGTTCTTTCTTTGTGATTTTGTTTCTTTTTTGTTTGGTTTGGATGATAGGGAATTGTATCTGGTTTAGGGGAAGAAAGGGAAAGGAAATTGTAGTAAGGGTTGTGGATTTAAGCTGTTTTTGTATTCTTGTTTTGTGGCCTGATTGTTTTCTGGTAAAGCTGAAATTTTAGTTCGAATTTTGTGTAATGTGGCTGTTTGATTTGTCCTGATCCATGCAAAATTTATCATAGGAGACTCCTTGGTTGTTAATGATTAAATTACCTGCGAATTCATGGTGTCTGTCTTTGTCGCGGACCAGTTAACTTACACAATGAGATTGGAGCTACCTAGAAGAGATTGACAGAATCTATAGAAGTTCACTTGCATATTTAAGATTTTTTATGTCACCTTTTTATTTATAGAATCTAAGGGCTGTTGGACCAGTTGAACTTCTTGATTAATCATAACATCATGAATTGAAAGTCCAAAATTTTTTCTCCATTTGGATTTCAGTGGTATGCGTTGGACTATAAAATCTGTGATTATTTTTTGGGTAAAAGTTTTGGACTTCCTGAAATGAAATGAGGATACAATGTAATAAGAATAGAGAGGCCTCAAAGGTTGTTTTGTGCGATATTTAAGTGATTTGAGTGAAACATAGCTTAGTGCTGATTCTTTAATGAACAATTTGTCATATTACTGTTGCTGTCTGTAAACAAATAAAATGCGAACGTTAGGCTGGTCTTTATTGCTTGAGATAGCGGAAGGGAGCACATTTTGTACATGGAAGCCAAAACATTGGCTGCGCTTGTCTAAGATGTCACTCTATAGAGGTTTATAGCCTATGAGCTGCATCCTTAATTGCTTACAACGAATGTTAATAAGAAAATTTGGTCAGCGTAATTTCAATTTATATGTTCTCACACTTTGTGTTGTCGTTGTTGCTTGTCATGAAACTTCACATTTTTCATCATATCTGTTACAGTGTATGCATAACATTAATTGTCTTTCTACGTTTTTTTCTCCTGGAATTGTTTCTTAACATTTTTCCTTTAAATTTTATTCTGCATTCAGCCTCTATAATAATATACATCATCCAAGCAAGTTGGCTGTGGGAGGAGACTTTTATTGTTTCAAAAATAATATTGAACCAAAATGGGAGGACCCAGTTTGTGCTAACGGTGGGAAGTGGACTTTAATTTTTCCTAGAGGGAAATCTGATCAATGTTGGCTGTATACGGTATGCTGTGTACTCTGTGTATCAGTTCCTATATATGTACAGCTTTGTGTAATACAAATACTAAATGTGGCCTCAAATTTTCTGCATGTACTGGTTCTAGCTGTTGGCATTGATTGGTGAACAGTTTGATCATGGTGATGAAATTTGTGGAGTAGTTGTTAATGTCAGATCTAAGCAGGACAAAATTTCTCTGTGGACCAAGAATGCAGCAAATGAAACAGCCCAGGTGACTTTCTAACTGAATGACTAAATTTACCGAATATTCATCTGTATGCCATATGTGATGATAATCTTCATATTGCCGTCCCTCTACAATTGTTAGTTTTATAGCTTCTTATGATGTTGATAGCTCCAGTTGCACACTTTTTTGACTTAAAATCTTTATGTCTCAGATAAGCATTGGGAAACAATGGAAGGAGTTACTTGATTATAATGACACCATAGGGTTCATTTTTCATGTAAGGATTTATTATTTGATTTTAGTTCCCCTAAACTGTTCAGCCTAGTTCATGAAACAATAACTAGCTACTAATGGTGTTTGTTTGGTTTATCAGGAGGATGCAAAGCATGACAGGTATGCAAAGAATCGGTATACGATATGAGCTGTACAGGGATTACAAGTAATACTCCAGGAATGATCCAGTTTCTTGACACAGTAGTAGTGGGGCTTGTTTTCATTTTAGGAATCTGGATCAACATTGGGGCGGATACTTCTTGTTTTGTTTCTTTATGCTGTTTTTGCTATTATGATATTAGTAGTTACATACACTAACACTAGCAGTGTGATACTCTTTTTAACTGCAGATTTTAGTTTGGCAATGCACTAGTATATTTCTTATATCTCCCGGTGTTTATTTTTTATTAACCTTTAGGACATGTTTACTTTGTGGATTAGACAAGAGAATGAGAATTCCCATTCCCTTGTTTACTTGAAAGAGTTGTATAAGGAGAATTCAAATTGTGGAATATGATTCCTGCTCCCAGCTTATGATGATGAAGCTGAACGAGTTATTTATACATGTGACTCAGGATAGGCTTCGTCTTCATACAAATTCTCGAAAAATTCAATCTGGCCAACAAAGTAAATCGGTGGCCAATTGTTGGGCTCCTTCATGCATGATTAAATTCAAATCATTTTTCTTTTACACAAGGGATCCAATAGAGGTCGTCGAAACAACAAAAAATAAAGAAGAGCAACCATCTTGCCCTTTGCAAAAGTATCAAGAATTCTCCGAAAAGATGTATTCTTATGCAAATGCAATACAATACAATACTCACTCTGGAGCTATAATTATTACAAGGATCTGATGAGAGAAGTATTTACCATTATAGAATGTTGTTTAAGGGTAAGGTCCACATTGGTAAAACTAAATTATTAAAGTTGTTTCAACTCTTTTGGTAGGTGCTGATGGGATGCATCCATTAACCTGTAAGAGTGAGTTAAAATCTGATTAACTAAGCCCATCACCCATCAAAAACTATAGTTTGGTTTTCAACAGAGAATTAATGCACAATTACAAGAGAGTATTCATTTGTGATGGCTTAGCCAGGGGCTCAATAACCTATACTATATTTAATCTTGTATAATAATAACGTGTATCTAATTACAAAAGCTGCCAACCATTCCCTTCCCTTTCCCTATAAAAAACCAAGTGTATTCATTTACAATCTCATGTCCCCTTTTCCCTCTCACTACCCAACGTATTAACAAGAGAGTTGGAAAATTGGAAAGAAAGTAGTAGATTGAGGCAAAATTTAATTTCATCAAAAAATCTCTCCTTCCTCCCCATCCCCATTGAGATTCAATATCTCCTCATCGTCATCCCCCAAATAATCGTTTTTCATAAACAAACCAATGCGCTCCAATGGATTCTCATAATTTGGTCCCTTAAATGCTCTCTTTGACATTGCTGACCCTTTATCACCCTCCAGGAGGTGAGGGGATAAGCAAAACCCAGTTAGCATTTCAAGTTCCTTCAGAATCTCCAGGTTGTGTTCTATCTCAACAGTTCTTTCCATCTGCATATCAATGATAAATAACCTCTATAAATGAGCTATTAATAAGTTTAGAGGTTAAACAAAATGACGAAACAAAAACATTATAATAAAAGGTTTACCTTTTGCAAGGCAATTCGAGCAGCTTCTCTTTCTTTCTCTCGTTGCCTTTTCAACTCAATTTCTGCCTTCATTCGTGAGGCAGCTTCAGCAGCCTGAATTTGGGCTTCAATCCTAGCCTTCTCTGTAAAATGTGAAAACCAGATTGTTAACGAACGGTAGAGAAATATAGCTTGCCATAACCATAAGAATGACAGCTAAAAGGAGAAAAGTATCAAGCCCATAGGACATGACATCAAAATTTGCACTAGATTTACACAGCTACAAAGCCTTAAACACAGGATATCACTTCAAGCCCATAGTTCTCAAATTAGCATTAGACATTAAAATCAAGCACTCAAGAACTAAGTGGAGTATTTCCCTCCGCGTCAAGCAATTCAACACCCTACACTCCAAGAAGAAATTAAATTATCATTTTTTAAGCACATTACTCTTTCAGTTATTTCCACAAAAAGAAAATGATTCCGGAATCGTTCACATGTTTGTATTTGCAACAATTTCTAGCATCAAGGACCACTTTCACTACTGTACTTTTTTAATACATCTGTTGCTTTCCAATTTCAATATGAATTCAAAGACACTTGTAAATATGACCATCTAATGACCACTACAAATTCTACCATCTTTTTCTGTTTAAGCACAAAACCTCAACAGAAATCCATAACTGACCTTGTTTATCCATGTAATAGTCTCAAATAAAAAGGGGCAAGAAATTTGGGTTTATTTGGTTCAGTGAATAAAACAACTAAATTTCCAAAAAAGAAAAAAAGAAAAAATTCACCAATCCAAAAAACAGAATTTATTTTTACACTCTCGAAAACTTAAATTTGACCAAAGCCGTAAAAAAAAAAAAAATCAATTTTTTTTTTTTTTGGAAAAATGCTTTTCACCCATTCAAAAACTACTAAACTGCATAAAAATTTACTGCACATAAACAAGTACAAAGTTTGCTTAAATCACCTTCCCGCTGCCTCCTTTCTAATCTTTCTTTCTCCAGCTGCAACTTCACAGGGTCAGCTTTGTCACCCTTTACAACAAGACAAGAGCATGTATTAGAGATGATGGTCACCAGTGAACCACAAAGACTTGAAACTTGCACATAGGAAATTACCCAAAATTACATCCAACTTAGCCTCCATTTTTTTCTTAAAAAAGAAAACGGAATAATAAAATTTGTCTTACATGATCAAGGAGTGTCCTCTGCTGCGCTTTCAAAATTGTGTCCGCAAAACGACTCTTCAGCATAGCAGCACGGAGAGCCTTCTTTGGTGACATTTGTGCACCTAGGAATGATGCTGTCCAATCTACATCAGATAAGCAAAACACAAAAATTAAGTATAAATGATTGCTTATTTCCCCCTTCTCTAGTTTTGCTCACTGACCAAAAGTTTAACAGGGAGAAATTAATACCTAATCTAGGCATCACAGAAACTAAGTGGTATATACTGACCTTCTGCAGATGCAGAATCTGTTGCAGGAGGTGTAAGCTGAGAACTAGGACATAAATTCCCATCATCCAATGCACTTACAGCCCCTTCACATAATTTCCAACGGCACAACAATGCTCAGAACAAGTAATAAGCACAAGAATATCACGCAGTTGAAATAATAATAGATCCTCACCATCAGAATCTGGATCTGGATCTGACTTGCTTGTCTGTGATGTTGACGTGCTTTTTGCTTGACAATCCTAAATTTAAATCCAATGTTTTGATTGCACATTAAACACAATAAATATCTTTTTATGTTAACACTTGACTCAATTCATTACATTAAACAGAAATATCATACATACCAGTTTAGAAGCATCAGCACTACAAGCACGATGATCTCCACCCAATGATCTTTCTGAAGTGATATCTATGCAGCAGAAATAAGTTTCTGTCAACTAATTATTGCAGTATATCCTAAAACAAAGAAGCAAATGAAAAGTTCAACTAACCACTTGAGGACGCATGAGTTGAATCACTAGGAAGGTTGCATCGACAAGTAGTGCTATCACATTTGCCACACTTTTTGCATGCAACTGGGCTCAATGGTGGCTTGTTAGCAATGCCACAAGCACGTCTACCACCACCATCAGTGCCTATAAGACACATTCCAAATTAGCTCCTGTAAAGAGCCATAAAGCAGAAACTTTACTCTGCCATTCCATACCTTTTTGTAAATGTTTCCCTGCTGTCCTGTTAGAGCAGCTCTGTAATGGTCTGGGACGCTCTACCTAAGAACAAAACATATCAAACTCAGGCAGTGCAGATGCATGGCATACTTCTATTGAAATAAAATAACTAAAAGGTTACCTAGTCTAAAAGCAATTATCACAGATGTGCCTGAGCATTATTTTTATTTGGCAATTGTAGAAGTCCAATGTTAACAGTGTAAATTACTTACCTCTGTATCTCTTGTATAAGAGGGATTCCTTACAGCCCTTTCTTCACCTGTCTTTGACTTCTTTGATGACAAAGAATTATGCAAGGGAGGTGTTTTGGGACTATTATGTACTGTATCATTGACTTCCATCATTTTTCCACTTACCACTTTCCCCATTCCAGCTTTTGGTCTTTCATGGGTCCATTTATCCTCCAAGGATTTCCATTTCATAAGAAAGAGATCATTCAATTCCTCTGCCATTTTATGAACGTTATTCTCTGGAGGATTATAGAGCATGGCATTAGAAAAAGTCAGTCTGACATCAGCCACAAACTCTTCAGTTCCATAGTACATATTTTTATTCAGCTTTGTTTTTATTGTTCCCAAATCCATGGGCTTTGATATAATTGAGAAGTAATCAGGTATATTCAATTTCACTGGATCCACTGGTTGATTGAAAACCCAGCCAGCTGGATGGGCCATCAGTGATTTCAAAAGGATAGAACACTGGTGAGTTAAACCACGGTCCATCTTTCGCCTTTTATCCTTTGGACCCTCTATCACATCCTGGGCTTCACGCTTGTTACCAGCTAGCATGAGAGGTCTCTCCTTTGAAGATGCAGATGCAAACATCCTTTTTGAATCAGATGAAGGATGTGATTTACTCATCTCCAATTGCTTACTTTCATTCCCAGAGGTTTTGTGATGCCAATTTTCAACAACTGTTACCTGCTGCCCATATTCACATGATCGTGCTGCAGCAACAACTTCAATTCTCTGGGTTCCAAACTTAATTTTCAACTTCTTCTTAGTTATTACAGCTTCAGCAGCAATCATGGTTGAAACTGCAAAAACTAGAAGAAGAAGCTTTTATATTTGCTGATTTTCAAACAGTAAAACAACCAATTTCCTCAAGCGACACTGGGTAAAGCAGTGTCCTCCCAAAAGAAAAACAACATGCATGAATTGCTCAACAAAGAATCCTGTCACAAATTATTGCAGTAGATAAGCACCACAAAATTCATTAACGCAGTACCTAAGTACAGTAGATATCAAAAGTTCAGTATATGATAAAATAAAAAATGGAACAAATTAGATTTACTAAATCCAACCTCGAAGCAACGGAAAGGAAAACTATAATTCTAAGACAAATGCCAGCCCCATTAACAAAAGTACACACCATCATAATCAATAAAAAAGTATGAACTTAAAATCACAAAGAACATCAGAGAACATGATTAAGCATGCTAGTCCCAAAGAACTCAACTCATATCCTATTCCAAGAAAGAACTCCCAACAATCCAAGCATCACATATCAAATGAACAGGAAACATCAAACCAAACAAAACCAGACA